ACACATCAGATTGGTTGCATTTTTCGGCAAATTCGTATGCACGGTCCAAATTGGATATATTATCGATGAGCACCTATACAATGCACAGATAAGAGAAATAAAACTTGCAGAAGAAAAAGCAAAGCTTCAATTGCCTCACATTGATTGCGCTGTTGTTCACTTCGAACTTTTTGAAGATAGCAAAAGCTTCCTCATACAATTCGCTAGAAATTGCGATATTTGCAATGTCAGGCGCATCGTAGTTGTCCAGTTTTTGAATGTACTCCATTACACGCGAACGATCAGCCTAAATTAACGATATTATCCCTTCTCATCACCATGTTATTTATAAATTCGCTGATTTCTGCACACTCACCCTCATTGCAGTCAGGATGAGCAGATTCTGAAGGTTACGATGCTCTGAGAATGCAGAGTTGTCCAGAACAATCTTTTCCAACAATTCTATCAGCTCATTTGGTAGGTCGGCTGCCATGAACGCTTTCACGGTCGCTGATATGTCTTCGGGGTCTTGGGTTTCAGACAGGGCAGTTTGAACAACCTTAGAGCAATTATCTACACTTATTAAATAAAAGGTTTTTAAGCTAAACCTTACTTGATCAATCAACTGCCTTCTATACTGATTCTCCTCATTCAGAACTTGCTCCCAAAGTCCATAATCACGTCTTCGTACAAGATATCGAGCAAGATTCTTGAACAAGGAGTTTTCATTGCAAACAGCAATCAACTCAGCATCACATTGTCCACGCTCATAAGCGAGGAAGGCAAAGTGCGGATCGCGCTTCTCGCAGTACCTACATAACGACAAATTGAACAATAATTAATCTTCAGGAAAAGTCAATCACTTACTTTCCAACCACTCGGCTGTCATAATATGGGTTCTCTCTGAGAAATCTATCTGGATTGTTATTAGAATCTATGTAAATCTTTGCCATCGCATTGTGTGTGGCAGCATCAGTGGCCCCTTCTTGGACACGAGTCTCAAGCCAGTGTGACAGCAACTTCAGCCTAAAAAATTGCGCTCTGAAATGAAAACAGACTAGCAATATCAAAATTCTTACCTGTTCCTCTTCTCAACCTCAGCCACAAGTTCATCAATGTCAAACTTGCCACGAGTGTTCAAAATCAGCTGCTTGATCGCATCCTCTGAACAATCCACATCAAGCAATCCGCCTACCACAATAGGGAGACGAGCAGCGTTAACCTATAACATTATTCATAGCTCCCAGGCAACTTCTTTTATGAATATGAAAAAATTAGCATGATATAAAGTTTACCTTTTGCACAAACACCTCAATATATTTCTGGAGCTGATTTCTGTAAAGATACAACACAAGATCATGAACCATATCATGACGGTCGCAAACGATAATGAGAGGCAGCTGAAATGAGATGAAGTTTATAAAACCTGAACTCTGCAAGAACCGAAGGAAAAAATACCTGGTCGGCGAGCTTAGCCTCCTTGAGGAAGTTCTTGACACGTTCTGCATCGTAACAGTTAGACTCGCGGCAAATGCGCTCCACTTCCTTGATCTGTCCCGTACGTGTTGCTGCCTGAAAAAGACTAAAGTTAAAAGGCCAAGCCGTTTAATGGAAACTGTGAATAAATCAAACAAACTTGAGAAAAAAATTATTAATAATTTGTTACTCACATACAGTGTGATAACTCCAGTAACATTTTTTAAAAAGAATGTTTTACGAAAACGGAAAACAAAAATAGAGAACTATTCAAATAAAATGTACCAGTGATGCAAACAGGAAGAAGAGAACTGATAGCTCAACCAACCTGAATGTACTTGAAGTGCACTTCGGGATCCTGACTGAAGTTGACGATCGACCCAAGGAAATAGAACAGCCCCTCATAGCTTTTGTGTGTCTCGAACATATCAATAAGTTTATCGGTGCCGAGCTGCTCGTGATACTTCGATGCAATTTGCACAACAACCTAAAACTCTACTCAGAAAAACGAATTTTTGAGCTAAAAGTAAACATACCTGTAGGTTTTGGCGGATGTTCTGAGTGAGCATAGCTTTCAGACACTCGAGGGAGTCATCGACAGATAATGAGCCGAAGTAGTTAACTAACCACTAAAAAAGACCACTCATCTCAAACGAAAGAAGACAACAAATTTTAGCTTCCACTGCTCACATCAGGTTTGAAATGAGTGGTATGTACTACAGTACGCTTGATGTCGTAAAGATCAGTGAAGTGCTCTAGAGCTCGCTGCAAAAGCCCTGCCTTCTCACAAAGTTGTCCGATTTGTGGCCGGTCATAATGACTGAACATCTTGTTTCCAAGGATTGCATCGGCAACCTAAAATAGATACGCTTATGATACGTATTGATAAACCAAGGGATTGACTGACCTGTGGAGCAGCAAGGAGATTCATTTCAAGCAATCTTGTTTGCAAATGGCCTTCTTCTGGCTTATCACCTTTAAGCACTTCAAGGAGGAATGATGTGCATGGCTGGACGGCTTGCACCTCCATGAAGCAGTCGATAATCTAAACTGGTGCCATAAACGGCATGAAAAGGAAGTGAGGGTAAAACCGATAGCTTCGAAAGAAAGATAAAAAGTAAGCGCACTCAAAAACGGCCAAACTTAATACCAACCTGGTTGAGATCTGCCAGAGGCTCACCATTTTCGCTCTCGACAACTAACATTTGAGCAAACTTTGCACCAGCTTCTTGATTTCCAGAGCGAAGAATCTGAAAGCATCCCTCCTCAAAAATTTTCTCCCTTCAAAATAAGATTAACAACACCACTGTAAAGTCATTGTTGTGAAATAAAATCTAAAAAACTGAGCTAATCAGGTAAAAAAGCATCCCAAAAAGACTAACCTGTCTCAGCTGGAACAAGTAGTCTGGTTCAAATCCAACTCGCTTCGCATAAAGGATGATTTTGTCAAACTGACCAGTCTCCGCAAAGCATTGCACAACCTAAACTTCGATC